GACCTGGGCTCGGGGGCTCGGAGCCCCCGGGAGCGGCGCGCGCCGCGGGGGGTGGGGGGCAGGAGAGGGGGCCGCGCCTCTGACTTAATGCTGGAACTATCCACGTCACGTGCGGCCTCGCGCGGGTTAACCCCTCGGAGCCCAGGAACCCCCGGATTCACCCAGAGCCCGTTATCACAAGCAGTTGGGAGAGACCAGAGAGGAAAGCTGCTTCCTTCCGCGGGCAGGATCCCCTTTGTCTACCCGTCCGGGTGAGTCCTTGGCACTGAGCTCTACCCTGAGTCCCGATATTCATCTTAGCGGCTCTCGTCCCTGGAGAGATGAGGCACTGAGGGCAGACCCCCTCCTCGAACATACTCTTTGAGGCTTGATCAGATATCAGCCTGAGCAGAGAGGCCCCCTACCGTGGTTGAGTTACCCTCTTTACCTGGCTCTCTTGCTGGTGGCTGGAAAAAAAGCAGGCACACCTTCCTTAGACGCTCGTTTTGCCTAGGACACGGTGGAAAGATCTTTAAGCTCCTAGTTGGGGCTCGGGGAGCTTGGGCCTGAATACGATCATTAATTTCCTATGGCGGCTTGAACCCATTACTTAGTGTGTTCATTGGACTGTGGTGGTCCTTCTAGATATTGGTGGTGGGTTCCAAAGCCCAGGCAGGCCGGAGCAGACAAAGAGGTTCCCAGGGCTTCACCGTGGTCTGCCCAGGTATGGAAGAAGTAGAAGGGTCACTGTCCTTCTGAGCAGCATGAAATGAATGCCTTTCAGAGTGTCAAGGGCTCCACTGCGAAGTGACTGCTTCTAGGACATAGAGAGGGTAGGATCTCCCAAGAGCGGAGTGGAGTCTCCCAGTCAAAGGCAGCCTAGGATTAGGGGTATAGCTTATCCTTTCTGAAATAGAAAAATCCTCGCCTTACCTAAGATCTGGACCCCAGTTTAAAGATCCTTTAGGTCTGGGTTAAACCATCTATATTTTTAGTGCCCCCTGGAGATTAGGGAGAAGGGTGGAGAGCCAAACATCATTTGTATTTCATTTGAATTCTCAATTTTTAAAGGAATCCAAGAGGCCTGGTGTGAACACCTCCCTCTTCCGTTGGAGGCTTAGAGGGGGTTTCTTGGCTGTCCTCGGCCAGAGCTGGGCTGTAAATCAAGGCCAAACAGGAACCAGAAGCCTTGCATCTCACAAGGAGTCATTAAGCCATTATTAAACATACCATAACTTCTCTGAAGCCTTATTGGCTTAAATACCACATTGGAGGCATTATGGCCATTAGGGCCCCTAATCACAGACTGCAGGCTGGGCAGAGATGGGAGCACCTGGGGCTGGTATTTCCAGCTAGAGAAGCTTGGCTTAAAATGAGTTTTTCCCTCTGCCCGTACCAGAGGGGAGTCCACTGGATCTCAGCTGTGGACACGGTTGAATTGATTATTAATAAAAGTTTCCAATAGTTATCAATTGGATATTGTTGACTGCCTGGGAGGATGTGTCATTTCAGGACATTTAGTCAAGAAAAAGATACCAAACAGCTTAATTTGGAGGATGAAAATATGACACAAGATAAATGTCACCAACAAATTAATGCAGCCTGGATTAAACACTGAGCCTTTTGCCTTAGGTGCCTTGGTTTTCTTGACATAAAAATGGGGTCACACATATGGACGTAGGGTAATTGAGATAATGACAGTCATGATTTCTCAAGAAAACGGGAACCTAGATTTTAGAGTCCTATCACTGAATCTGTGAACGCCTCCTGACTCCAGACTGATGGTTCTTACACTAGAGTTAAACAAAGGATTTTGTTTCCCCACAGGCCCACACTCTTCCCAGCCCTAGAAATTCCTCCTGACATTCTTTCATTCTGAACAGAGGCAACTTCCATGCTGTTGTGGTGTTACTAATGGAACTAAGGAGACAGAAGGGCTCAGGTGACATCTGATTTTGGTGGAGCTGCCTCTTCTGAAGAATTTTTTTTTTCTCTCCCACAACTGTGGGGAACAAGAAGTCCAGAGGAGCCTCTTCTGTACCCCCTTTAAGTCACTGATTCAAGTGCAGGCTGTTGTCTGTCCGTGCTTGAGAGCTGCCTGATGGATCAGGGGCACAGAAAGCGCAGGAGAACTTCTAATGTCTGATATCTGGGGAAGCACTGGGAGATTCAGAAGCCTTCCTTTCACAGCTGTGTGCATGTACACAGGGGTAATGGTGTGCTGGGCTTAGTGTGTCCAGCCTGCATGGGTTTATCTTCTCTTCATATCAGTTCATGAAGTAGGCACAATTCTTAGGCCACCTTCGCAGATTAAGAGAGCTGTTTGTTCAAGGTGGGCACAACTAGTCAGTATCAGAACCAGAAACTGCTCTTAGATCCAGTCTTCCCACCTGACAAGACTCTCTGTTCTTCAGCTAACAAAACAAGATAGAAGCCATTTTGTCGTCATCCAATTTTCCCAATAGGAAGGCTGGAACTTATTTCCCAAAGGGAAGTTGGGACCAGATAGGGTTGGGGACAGAACTGGTTTGAGATGAGCAGCACTAGCAGCTTCAGGGACACTGAGTGGCACCCAGCTGTGGTGACCAGAAAAGGGGAGGGAACTGGGAAGGGGTGATTTCTGCTAAACTCCAACCAAATGAAACAGTGTCCAACACCTGAGTGGTTTAATGACTAATGTCATAAATGTCATTTAGATGTGAGACAGCGTCTTAGGAGAATTTGTGAATTCACTTTTCAGGCTGTTTAATAACCATTAAATTAATAGCATTTGTCACTGATTTGTTCTCAACAGAGTAAGAGATGAGCCCATAAGTGATACAGAGAATTCTAGGCCCTTAATTAAAACAAACAAATAACACTTTATATAAAAAAAATCCACTTGCTAAGTAAAACAAGTTTTGAAATGGAAATGATTCTTTCATTGATGAATGTTAAATTCATTCATCTCCCACAAGGGTCTGCTGGTGACAGCTGGTACCAAGATATAAAAGGTATCCTTGCCTGCATGGTCTTTATGCCATGCTGAAGGGAAGAGGGTCACTCACACTGAAGCAACCCATTACTTGAATGTGAATTAGCCAGGCCCAGTCCTGGCTTAGCTCAAGTGTAAGGTCAGCTCTCAGCTCTTTGATTAAGGATTTGCTTGCAGTACCTTTCCCCCTTCCTTTCTCCATCCCTCTGCCTCCACCACACCCCCACCACACCCAGGCCAATATCCTTCAGCAGATGTTCAAAAGGAGCCAGAACAATGGTGTAAATGTAACCATACATTTGAGATTTTCTTAATATACACAAAACTGCCCTTCCAGACAGTCAGCATTTGACTTTGCTCTACTTAGACACTGAAATCCTAAATCGATCCTTATGAAAATTCTGGGTTTGGAAGCCCAAGTGGATTGTTTCTCATTAGCTACATTCTTCCTGGAAGGTCAGGCTAAGGAATGGTAAATAAACCTTAAGATCCGGTGTTCCTCGCCTATGAATGATATTTTAAAGAAAGGTTTGTATTGTGGAAACCAGGATCTTTGACTAGATTCTAACGCTGCAGACTGAATCCTAGGACTTAGGGCAAATTTTTTGGGAAGTTTAAGTACTAGTTTTTCGTCTTCTATCAATTTGATGCGTTTGAATTGAAAAGCCACTTAACCTCTCCATACCTAAGTTTCTATACTGGAAAGTGTGAGGAATGAGTCTGTAGTCAGCTTCACTGAACTGAATGAGCTAGTGTTTATACAGATGTTTCTTGAGCTTAGATCCACCTTTGAACACACACACACACACACACACACACTATATATATATATATATATATATATATATATATATATATATATATATACACTCAGCATTGCTCTTGCTCCTTTTAGACACTGAAATCCTAAATTGATCCCTATGAAAATTCTGGATTTGGAGGCCCTATTATATATATTATGTATGTAAATGCCTCTATCTACTTCACCAAGATTAGGGTGGCATGAGAGTAGAGAAGCAGTGAGGTGGAGCAGTGACCTCAGTGTGCTGTGTTCAGAGGACCCGCGACACTACTGCAGACTTGCTATTTTTTGGGGGAAATATGTGAGTTCCCCAGCAGGTGCCCCATGTGGACCATGTTGCCACTCTGTGGGAGAGTTTTATGAACTTGTTCTTGGTATAAAGCAGAAATGGTTATTATTAAACTTTGTGGTAAGTTCTAACTTATTACTTGATTAATCTTATACAATGATGTATAGGCATCAAACATTTGGCAGAGAGAGGGGGACCAAACAGAAGATAAGGCCGGAGACAGTACCACTACATTCAGGGTCTTTCCAAATGACCGGGAGAAGGATGCAAAGCAATAGGCTTTTATCTCATAGTGTGATTGTACTCAGGAAGCTGTAAGGAACTCACAAGACAGGTGCCAGCTCAGTAATTGAGACAACAGGGGACAGGTGGTCATGAGACACTCTAAGGCTGACTCTAGAAAGTAGAGTGGGGGTTTGCCCAATTAAGACAAACGGAGGTGCAGGAAGAGAGGGTATCTGAGAAACAGTAGCTCCTAGGTGAAAGAAGTCATTTGTGGCGGTGGGGGGGGACTCAGATGGAGTAAATATTGCTGGGCCTAGGTTGGGGTAGGAGGAGGAGTCCACGGAATCTAGAGACATTCCAGAATTCCAGAGAGCAGGAGGTTGGTTCCAGGGATATCAAGTCTCTAGTATCTGCTAAATACAGCTTCAAGCACTGTCTTTACCAGAGGAAGGGAAGAGAAGAAAGCCCCAGTTCCTAGAACTTCCCTGTCCTCCAAGAGGATCACTCAAGACCAACACCCAGCAAGCACACATTAAGTCAGCAGAGAAATAACAATGAT